GAGTGGGCGAGGCCGCTTCTGCCGCCCGGGACGCCCGCAGAGGCCGCGGAGCTGCTTGCCAGCATGGTAAGAGCGGGAGGCAAGGATGCCGGCTAGGGGCGCGGGGTTTGGGGTGGCGGGGTCAGGTTTGGGGCACCCAGGGTGGGTTTGGGGTGACAGAGTCAGGTTGAGCCAACTGTATTTGAGTTTGGAGCACTTGGGGTGGGTTTGGAGCACCTAGGGTTGGGTTGGGGGCAGCCGTAGTTGGGTTTGGAGCACCCGCGGCTGAGTTTGGATCACTTGGGGTCGGGTTTGGGATGACTGAGGTCGGGTTTGGGGCACCCAGGGTTGGTTTGGGGGGTGAGATCAGGTTTGAGCCAGCCATATATGAGTTTGGAGCATTTTGGGGTTGGGTTTGAAGTACCTAGGGTTAGGTTGGGTTGGGGGCAGCCGTAGTTGGGTTTGGAGCACCCGCGGTTGAGTTTGGATCACTTGGGGTCGGGTTTAGGGCGACTGGGGTTAGGTCTGAGGCAGCCATATTTGGGCTTGGGTTTCAGGTGATTGAGGTTGGGTTTGGGGCACCTGGGGTAGGTTTGGGGTGGCAAGGTCAGATTTGAGCCAGCCATATATGAGTTTGGAGCACTTGGGGTCGGGGTTGTGTCGGGGGCAGCTGTATTTTGGTTTGGAGCACCCACGGTTGAGTTTGGATCACTTGGGGTCAGGTTTGGAGCACTTAGGTTTGGGTTGGGGGTGGCCTGGGTTAGGGACACCCGGGGTGGGTTTGGAGCACTTAGGTTTGGGTTGGGGGTGGCCTGGGTTAGGGACACCCGGGGTGGGTTTGGAGCATCTGAGGTTGGGGTGCGTTCGAGTCAGCCGTATTTGGGTTTGCAGCGCCCACGGTTGTGTTTGGAGCACTTGTAGTGGGTTTGGAGCGGCCCAGTTTGGGTTTGGAGCACCCAGGGTCGCGTTTGGAGCTAGCTGCTGCGGTTGGATTTGGGGCACCCATTTATGTTCGCAGTAGTTGGAGTTGAGTTTGGAGAAGTAAGGGTCGAGTTTAGGGTGGCAGATTATATTTGGGGAGGCCGGGGTTAGGTTTGGAGTCACTGGGGTTGGGTTTAGGGTACCCTGGAATCGGGTTTAGAGCACCCGAGGTCGGGTTTGGGGCAGGTGGAGTTGGGTTTGGAGGGCCCAGGTATTTTTGAAAGTTACCCGGGGCTGGGTTTGGAGCAGCCAGGGTTGGTGGAGGTTCCCAGTTCCCCTGTCCCCCCTACCCCCCACCCCGTGCCCTGGCACCCCTGCCTCCCGCCGCGTTGTCCCCTCTTCCCGTAGCCGTTCCAGAAGCACGTCTACTACCCGCTGCCCAGCTGTCCTGAGAGCCCGGCCCCCCCCACGGCCCCTGCCTCTGCGGGCACAGCAGCAGCGGCCACCATGGCCTTCGGGCCGCCCCCTTTGGCGGCTCTGGGGCCTCTGCCCTACTTCCAGTTCCGCCCGCGCCTGGAGAGCGTGGACTGGAGGCGGCTGAGCGCCATCGACGTGGACAAGGTGGCGGGAGCCGTGGACGTGCTGACGCTGCAGGAGAACATCATGAACATCACCTTCTGCAAGCTGGAGGACGAGAAGTGCCCGCACTGCCAGTCGAGCGTGGACCCGGTGCTGCTGAAGCTCATCCGCCTGGCGCAGCTCACCATCGAGTACCTGCTGCACTCGCAGGACTTCCTGACGGCGCAGCTGCGCGCGCTGGAGGAGCGGCTGCGCCAGAGCCACAGCGACGGCGAGCAGAGCCAGAAGCTGCTCAGCAAGCAGGCCGGCGAGATCAAGCTGCTGAAGGACGAGTGCAAGCGCAGGAAGAAGATGATCTCCACCCAGCAGCTGATGATCGAGGCCAAGGCCAGCTATTACCAGGTAGGGAGACACCGTGTCACCAAGGGACACAGTGCGGGAGCTTTGGTGGCCTCGTGGTCAAAAGCTGCGCTGCCGTTTCCAAAGGCACGTGGTTCAGATCCACCCAGATCCAGGGAAGAAGAATGGGCAGTCTCCTCATGTACCTTTTATTTTTTTGCCTCTGAGAACCCACTGAATCGGTTCCAGATCGACAGCACACAACACACACGCCCATAAAAAGGAAAAAACTCACCCCTGGGAGCTTAGACATTTTATAACTCTATCACAGGCGGCTCCTTGGAGGCAAGGATTCTGGGACTTCGTCTGACATACTTTGGACATGTTGTAAGGAGGGACGGGTCCTTGGAGAGGGACATCTTGCTTGGGAGGGTGGAGGGACAGCGCAGGAGGGGAAGACCCTCTATGAGGTGGATTGATTCGGTGACTGGGGTAATCGGGATGGGTGTGTCGGAGGCAGTGCGATTGTCACAGGACAGAGCAGAGTTTAGGGTCTCTATGAGTTGCAAGTGACTGAGCGCACATAACAACAACAGCATCACAGGTCGCAGAGTTTTGGTGGCAACTCTGTGGAGCTGTTGCTGCTGGTGCAAAGGTGGTGTCTCTCGCGGTTCAAATCTACCAGCGGCTCTGTGGGAGAAAAATGGATAATCCACCCAAATGTGATGCATAGTTTCAGAAAAACCCGGTGGAGAATCAACTGTGCCTGGGTTCTGACTTGATGACAATGAATTTGAGTTTGCCCCTACTGCTCACTTTTTAAAAACGATTTGTACAGAACAGCACATGAAACATATTTACGTGAAGTCAGTCATTTTAATCAGCATGTGACATGACTCATTACTCTTGCTACATAAAAAAAGCCCCAAACCCGCAACTGTTGAACAATTTCTACTTAGAGCTGCCCTGTAGGACAAAGTAGAATTCTCCCAGAAGGTTGCTCAGCCTGGAATCTCTGCCAGTGACGGCCCTCCCGTTCACCAGCTGGTGAGTTTGACCGTGGACCAAAGGCTTTCTTTAACCAGTGGGCTGCTGTTGTTAGGTGTGGTCACGTAGGAATCATAGAGACCTTTTGACCAATAGGTCTGAGCCCTCCCCTGTCCTGTGCCATCCTCCTCATCTCTGACACACTTGAGCCCATTGCCGCAGTCACTGTACCAGTCTATATTATTGACAGAAGGGTCACATAATGATTAAACAACTGTCTTTTTTATTTAAGACACCGAAATGCAGGTTATTCAAGGACTTGTTCCCTTTATCAGTGGCCAGTGGAGGCCCAGTGTGAATGAATGGAAGAACCATTGATTCATAGGCTATTTACAGAAATGATTGTCAACCAGTTATTTTTGGGTGGTTATTTTTTTTTTAGACATTACTTTTATTATTGTGTGTGTGTGTGTGTGTGTGTGTATGTGCGTATGTGTACTGTCAAATTGGATCTGACTGGCACAGGAGGAGATTGCCCCTCCTTCCCCAGCAGAGCACCTGGTAGATTGCAGTGCAGCTTCTTGCCATCAGGCCACCAGAGCTCCCTCCCTTTTGGTCTTCTTTTTTTTTTTAAAATATTCATTTTAATGATAGTTTACAAGAGAGTTAGGGTTTCCATTCATTCATTGTTGTACTTTGCTCCCTGTTTATCCCGTCTCCCCAGTTTGCTCTTCTCTTTGAAAAGCAAAAGAAAAATTCTTTTATTGTTATACAATTCCTCCCCCCAAATTCACTCCACTGTGCAGCCTTCATTCTGGACTTCTGTCATGACAACGATACCTAATCATAGATCCCTTTTAAACAGTTCTCTCCCTCATCTGTTTCAATGCAGTATCCATTATTTATCCCATCTTTCTCAGTCTTCCCTCAACCCCGATGTTACAACAGTGGCACTATGCAGTATTTGTCCTTTTGTGACTGAGATATTTCACGCAGCATAATGTCCTCCAGGGTCATGCGATTTGTATAATATTTCATGACTTCTTGTTTTTCAATGCAGCGTAGTATTCTATTATGTGAATATACCAGATAGCTTCTCTATCCATTCGTTTGTTGATGGGCACTTGGGTTGTTTCCAACTCTTTGCTATTGTGAACAAAGCTGCGATAAAGATGGGTGTGTATTTTTGGGTTTTTTTATGTTTGTACATATAACAAAAAGACCAATTATTTGTGTGTGTGTTCTGTATATTACATGGTGCTTACTACATCCTCCAGTCTTTTGCACATAAGTTCTTTGTTGCAGCTCAAGGCTTGGTTTTTCCCCTCAGTTCTTTCAGCTTGAGAAATGCTGAGCGTGTTCTTGCCGTTTGGTTTCCTAACTCCAGACCTTTGCACACTTCATTATAATACTTTGCTTTGTCTTCCCGAGCGGCCTCCCTTTGATATCTTCAGCTTGGCTTGCCTAGTTCATCATTTCTTCCATTCGCTTTAGTTTCTCTATATTCTAGTCCACGGTTCAGTCTTTTCTGACATCTGTTCTGCATTCTCTTGTCTTTATAATGGCCTTTTACTTGCTTCATGTACAATGTCCTTGATGTCACAACTTATCTGGCCTTTGATTATTAGTGTTCAGTGCATCAAATCTGTTTTTGTTTTTAGTGGAAAGTTTAATTTTGCTTGAACTGAATAGAAAAAAGAACCCTGAAACAAAACTGGAAATGTGAGGAAAATAAGTATTTCTTTATTCTAAATGATGTTATTTCTTAAAAGATCTCTAAATTAAAAAAGAAAATGAGATTATTTAAAACATGAAGAACTGAGACCATCAAAGAAGACATTAATTGGCAGCTGACGAATGCAAGACGCAATTACTGCTCGGTTGTCCTTGTTGTTGTGTGCCATTGAGTCGCCTGTGACTCATAGCAACCCTATGTGCAAAAGCTCTGAACCTCTGAATCCTGAGCCAATCTCATTGACTCCAATACTCCTAATCCTATTGCCCCAGGTACCATGTCAGTCTATCTCATCCAGGGTCTTCCTTTCCTGGGCTAACCCTCCATTCTTCTAAGCATGATGTCCTTCTTCAAGAACTAGTCCGTCCTGGCCACATGCCCAAAGTATGTGAGACGGAGCTTCAGAATCCTTGCCTCCAGGGAGAAACTTGGTTTCACCCTCTCCAAGAAAGACCTGTTTTTTTCTCTTGATGGTCCATGGTATGTTTCAGACTCTCCTCCAGCACCAAAACTCGAAGGCTCTTCTGTCATACTTAGTTATTATCCACCTCTCTGATGCATAGCAAGTAATACCGAAGACCATGGTCTGAATCAGGTGCACCTTAGTCTCTAGATTGACATCATTGCCTTTTAGGAGTTTGGAGAGGTCCCTGACTGCTGGTGCCAAAAGTGATGATTGAAGAGCCAAGCAAACTGTAACTCTTTTTTAAAAATTTTAATTTTATTTTTTTAAATTATTTTTCTGCATGTGTACCATCAAATCTGATCTGACTGGTACAGGAGGAGTTTGTTCCTCCTTCTCCAGCAGAGCATCTGGTGGATTTGAACCACATACCTCTGGGATTGTAGTGCAGTTTCTTGCTATTAGGCCATCAGAGCTCGCTGCAAGCTGTAACTCTTAACGACCTTGATCTCTTCTCCATCCATCATGGTGTTGCCGATTGACCTGTTGTTGTTAAGTGCTGTTGAGTCATAGACGACTCATAATAACCCTATGAACAAAAGACCTGAACACTTGTATAACTTTGGTCGTTTCTCCATATTCATAGAGTTTCCAGAGGCAAGCTATTTCGAAAGTGGATGCCACTCCTGCTTCCAAGCTTGATTTAATTGAGAAGCTTCACCAAACACTGTCCATAGGTATCCATTATTGCATTTGGCACATCAGTGTCACAGTGTTTAGCATCACAGCAACCGTGAGTTACCTCTGTACAGCAATGCACAGACCAGTGCTATACCACAAAGAAGAATGATTGACAAAAAAACAATTTAAACTAGGCCTGAGTGCCGCAGATTAAAATCACCCACCTTGGGCTTGGTAGCACAACTTTCTGTCCACTAGGTCAACAGAGTGGATACTTGGCTGAGTGGCCAGTTGACTTAGTGGTGAGAATCTTTGTCTTTTTGATGTTGAGCTTCAATCCATATTGAAGACTATGGTCCTTGACCTTCTGCAGAACACGTCTCATATCCTTTTCCGTTTCAGCAAGCAAGGTTCTATCATCTGCATAAAGTAGGTTGTTGATAGTTTTCCTCCAATCCTATTACCACATTCCTCCTCATAAAGTTCAGCCTCCCTAATGATCTGTTCTGTACATAGATTAAAAAAGTATGGAGATAGGCTGAATCCCTGACACACACCTTTGCTGATCCTGAACCAGGCAGTGCTTCCCTGCTCTGTTCTGACTACTACTTCCTGGTCCAAGTATAGGTTTTGCATGAGCACAAGTAAGAGTTTTGGAATTCCCATTCTTCTCAAGGTTAGCCACAATTTATTATGATTCATACAGTCACATGCTTTTGCAGTCAATGAAACAGAAATAGACATTTCTCTGATACTCTTTTCTTTCTGCTAAGATCCATCTAATGTTGTCTGTGATGTCTCTAGTGCAATGGCCTCTTCTAAAACCAGCCTGCACATTTTGGCAGCACTTTGCTGAAGCCCTGTTCCAGTCATTTCTGGATAATCTTCAGCAGGATCTTGCTTGTGTGTGATATTAGTGATATCATTAGATAATGTCCACAGTTTTATCACCTTTCTTTTGTAATGGGAATAAATACAGATCTCTTCCAGTCAGTGGCCAGGTAGTTGTCCTCCAGATTTCTTGGCGTAACCTGGTGACTGCATCCAGGGCAGCATCTGTTTGCTGAAATGTTTCACTTGGTATTCCATCAATTCCTGGGGCCTTGATTTTGGCCAAGTCTTTTAGAGCAGCCTGCACTTCCTCCTTCATCTATGTACGTTCTTGATCATATGTTGTTTCATGAAATTGTTCTGTGTCAGCCAATTCTTTTTGGTGTAGTGCCTCTGTATACTCCTTCCGTTTTCTTTTTTTATGCT